ATGCCTCCAGAAAGGAAGGCTAAGCAACTGTTCCTTGCAAATCCGACCGGCAGAAGGCCCAGGGGACGGCGAAGATGAAGCTGGTGCAAATCTGGAAAGAATCTGTTCCAGACTCCATTTGTCTTTTACCGAAGCTGAGACTCTGGCACAGGATCGGGAACGCTGAAAGCTCTCTGACGTGTCTGGCTCCGCGATCCGAAAGGAGAAGCGGGGATGGAAGATGAAGATGGAGGTAAGCCACGTAAACCTGTAAATGGTGGTATGCTTACTAATATATTCCTGGAAATCGAATCCACATTCTTATACTGAACGAAAAGCGTTTACAAAGAATAATGGCTCCTGAAACATCACCGGTAGCGAGTAAAGTAATGCTCTAGCCAATAAAAAGGAGAAACCCCGATATCCAGTAAATGCTACAACGTTACGGCTTTGTGAAATGCTTAATAGTCAGCACTCCTGGATGTAAAGAAGCAATGAGGCAGTGGAAAAGCGCTGTACACCTTGTTGAAATTATGCCTGTAAAGAATGCAAAGGAGGCAGTTCATCAGGATAACCTCTCATCATCGTTCAGGGTACAATCATGTTGTACAATTTTCAATTTCTATTGCAGGCTGCTGTCAGTCACGTCTACTACTGAACCAAAAATGCCCTCGTGGGAACAATCAACCCATAATAAATAAAGCCTGTAAAGCCCGGGCTGAAAGTTATATAGCGGATATAAATCTGTCTTCTCAACAGTGTAAATTTATTAGATTGTGTTTCATCGGTTCCTTGCTTTAATAAATTTGCTTTAGGAAAAGCAAAGTACAGCATGGAGGCAACAAACTATTCAAGTACAGCTTACGCCGATAACTGAATTTTTCGCTGTTGCAATTTCGGTCAAGGTTACAAGCAGGTAAGACATCACCGTTTCTGCAAACGACAACGAATATTTCAGCTTTTCGTCAGGCCATAATGCATCGTCGACACCGAAATGTGAAGTAACGTCATCCTGGTCACTGCTATGACAGCGCATCACCCTAAGACAGCAGAACATCTCGCCCGTTATATACCTAGGACAGACGTTAATATCATAAAACAACAAGTCACGGTCAGTCATCACCTGTATGCTTCTTGCAAGTACTTGACTCCTCTCGGAACCAAAAGGCCTTTGTATGCATCCAAAACTTCAGCTGAAACCTGCAAGCCATCGAATAATGAATCATGTTCGATCGAAAAGTACGAACATACTCGCTGATTGTTGTGAAATCGCAAATTGTAGTAAACTCCGCTTATGCCGATTAAACAGCGGACGTAACCAACCATGATATCTGGAGAAGTTTTTAGCGATACCTGTAAAAGGCAGTTTTGCAAAATGGAAAAGCAACAACCGCGTATATCGTGTGTAGTCCATCGACAACTCACAATCCCTTTGACGTAATTGTTTCATCAACGACCTTAGCCCATTGTAAACACTGTCCAAAGACCCTACCTTCTTCAAAAGTGACACAAGGGAACACAAATTTTCAGTGTCGATGTCGGAAGGATCTTTACCAACGATGCATCCAATGTCGATTAAGGCAGGTGTAATCATGTCCGGACTTAAGCGACACAAATCGAACAAGGTCTGCAGTGCGCTAATGCCTGCAAGTTAACCAGATAAAATTGTCGATTAATAAAGAGATAATATTAAAATAATGAGCATAGACAAAAACATCGCGAATTCCAACCAGCTGTCGCCTGCCATGGAAGGCAATTAGTCTCCAATTCAAATATTAGAGTGCATAATAGGGTGAACTGCGTTGAAGTGCATTCTACCCAGCAGTTACCAGCATTTTGAAGATTAGTCACAAGAGTTGGTCTGCCAGAGTCTGTAGCAAAAAATTTGTGACGCTAAGCGTCCTGCCGGAATGCTTCCAGAAAGAAAGACGACAGTTAATACTTGTTCAACCGAGCGGTCGATGGCTCCGGGGAGTGAGAAGTGCTCAAGCGGACTCAATACTCGGGGCACTGGACCGCAAACGTTGCTAACATTGTCTGGCGCTGCTGTTTCCGTGATTGCGAAAGTTTATGCGATCACAGAAACTGACTGGCCGACTGACTAATGACCCTGCCCATGCAACGCCAATCCCAAGTCTGTTCTATTCTACCATGTCACAGCAACATCTGCAAGATCCCTGACTGGATCAACAGCGTCGTCGACATGATCAAGGCGAGAA